ATCGTTGCTCATGTGTTTTTTGTAGCGAAAGCCATAGGCCCTACGCCCTGTTTGGGCTTGGGCCTAATAAATAATGAAAAGGTAAAAAAATAAATAAAAGACACAGAGGATCACTCAACTCACGAAGTGTTAAAAGCCAGAGAAAAGCAAACAATAAAATCATAAATTCAGTTCTAAATGAACTAGAAGCCACTGCGTTGACGCTAAAATCGGTGTAATGAGTTCTCATTCAATATTACACTAACATCTCTTTTTCCATCTACACTTCCCTCTCCTTTCCACGTCAAACTCCCCCGATCCTTTATGGCTTTATGTTTCTGAACTTAAAAAGAGTCGCCAATTCTTCCCCCAGAGGAGCGCTGATCCCGAGCCCCCCCGAGTGAGCTTCCTTCAGCCAGATTGACAGATACAATGGGAGCCTATGGAGACGGCCTATTAGAGCGGAGGGATGTGTGTGTGTGGGGGGGGGTATGATGGTCGCCAACTAGCAGTTGACTTATTAGTGCGGGAGTGCGCTGGGGACTGCTATGCAAATTTGTACCTTCTATAGAGTTCCATGCGGTTCTATACGGCGAAAATGAAAGTATCTGATTTTTGAAACAGTTTGCATCGTCCACAGGTTTTCTTGACTTACATTATGCATTCCGAATGTTCAAATTCTTCACCTTGATGAGTTTATGAGTGCTTTTCGCAAATTTCAGAGACCAGAGATTGGACTACAAATTGCTTTCTAGTTTGCAAGGACATACGTGTTCCAGAATCTGTCAAGTGAGAATCAAAAGAGTTCACTGGCTTTTTATCCAGAGCGATATCAACTTAAGGCTTTTTTCCAATCCATGTAGCACCTCCGATCGGCCGACTCTAACCTCCTCACTCCCATAATCGAGTCAAAGCATCGGCTCGGGTTTTATCGGACTGAGCCTTTGCCGTGGCCTCCCTAATACTCTAGAACTCTCAGGAACCTTCAGGTCAGACCTCAGACGCACTAAACACTAGGGTTGGTATCATTCAGAAGTTGCCGATACGATACATACCTCGATACATCGGCATATCTCGATTGTGCAAAGTGAATATGAAACACAAACATTTTAAGCATCAGAACAGTGAAAATGTCAAACGTGTCGCATAAATGAGTTTCAGGGTTCTCATTCTTTTTCACTGACAAAATTTCAAAACTTTTCCATGACTTTTTCATGACCTAAAGTGAATTTTCCATGACTTTACAGCACCTACATGTGTAGAACTAATCAGACTTTTAGGGCTAAATCTGAAATGTGAACTCTTTCCACTCACCTTATGGTTTGGGATTATAGTTTTTAACATTCAAAATCCTGTCAGTGCATTTATTGTCGTCTCTTTTAAACAAAAGGCACAGACGTTCACAAATAATCAGAACAGACACATGAGAACTTAACAGAACACTGAAGCTATGTGAAAGAGATACTAAAATTCCATGACTTTTCCAAAATTAGATGAGTTAGATTAAAGCTTGGAGACTAATGTAAAAGAGCCAAGAGGGCGGAGTCTGAACGTATAAGAAACACTGTGATTGGTCTAACATATGTCCACACTACAAACTCCACCCTTCGAGCCAGCTGTTTGTATCAAAAACACGTGAGTGATGAGTGATATCACATAGTACTTGAAACTGTAGCATTCACTGAAGGTGACGCACATTTACCCAGCTCACACTCGCATTGCCAAAAAGGACTGGAAACTGTAGAGAATATTCTTGAAAGTACACAAGTTTACCATTCATTCATTTGTCTATTCGTTCTTTTGAATTTCACTGAAGGATGAAAAACAACAAAATGGGAAAACAGTTTGTTATTTCATTATTCCATTTTAGGGTCAAACAAAAAAAAAAATGATTTCAACCTCTATTTCCAATATTTAATGTAAAGTTTATTTCAAATAACACCAATCAAAAAACAGTCTTGGTGTCTATTTCAATTTTGATATTTTATTCTCTCTGGTTTATTTGCCCCGGAAATTCTGCTGTTTAACGTGCTGTGTCAACTCGCTTCCTGTTTGTCGTCTTGGAGTTCAACAATGACTTTCTGAGACGTGACATTAAACGCGTCGCTATAAAAGAAGACGACACGTTTGTCCACAAAATGAGCCCATTACAGCTCTGTCCAACTCTGCATCAGTCCAGCCCTTTGTGTCTTAGGTTTTGTTTTTCACAAAATATTCAAATCCTCATTTCATTTTACATCTTAATTCTATTTTATGTCATTAGGTTCTTTTTTCAGACCAAGAGTTTGTTTTCATACTTGAGGAAGACACTAGTGACCAGTCCAAACTGTCAGATATGAAAACAAACCTGAAAAAAGAACCTTATAACTAGTGCTGTCAAGTGATTAAAAAAAATTGAGAGATTAATTAATTATGGTCTGTAATTAAGTAATCTAATTAATCTCTTTTTTAATCTCACTTAAAAATTGCTGAGAAAAGCTTCAACTTGAGGTATTTTCATTTGAATTCATTATAACATTATTTTCATACTATCATTAACGTTTTTATATAAGTATCACCATTATTATTACTGTTACTAATCTGCATAAATAAACTCAACATTACAACATATAAATATAAACACTCTAGAGCCACATCAGCCCGTTTGACATTGTCATGTGTTTAATGCAGATTTGCACAAGTCTCACAGAAACAAAACTTAAAACCACATGATTCATTTGCATAAACTAAGCGAAAAAAAAAAAAGAAAAAAAACACTCTTGTGCGCTGATGCAGTTCAACTTCTACTAAAGGACACGACTCAGTGGAATATGAGTGTTCTTTCTGTGACAGAGGGATGTTGATGCTGAAGGTGAGTCTGTTGTGTGTCGCGATGTTTTCAGAGATCAGACGTGTGCAGGTTTATCACAGATGCGGCGAGAACGGGAATGAAAATTACAATACAATTCTTTGCGGGAGCGAGCGGAGCAGGACTGCACAGTGCGACTGTGTCCTAACAACACATAAAAACTAATTTTATAATAAGGCAACTCACGTACAGAAACAGTAAAGTTAGAGATTAAAAATAAGATTAACGTGATTAAAAAACATAACGAGCTAAATATGACTGTAATTAATTAATCGCAGTTAACGCGATAATTTGACACCCCTGCTAATAACAGAAATGATCAGAAAACCAAATGAACCTCAATGGACTGTTAATTCCATTTTGCTTCAGTGTGGCAGAAATTTCCACATGTCTTTCTTGCTCCAAACAATTCTGCGATGTTTTTAGTCTGGATCTGGAAGCAGCCACAGCCTAAAACATCCACTGATACAAACTGATGCATCCAGAAACTTAAAAACACACTAGGCAGCAGCAGCAGAACTTCTAGAGCAAATAAACCAGAGAGAATAAAATATCAAAACTGAAAGGCACAGTGACTGTTTTTTTGATTGGTGTTATTTGAAATAAACTTTAAATTAAATATTAGTAATAGAGGTCGAAATCAGTTTTTTTGTTTGACACTAAAACAGTTTTTGGTTCTTAATTGAAATTCAAAAGAGCAACTTGTGCTCGGACCTTTTAGCTCGACTTTAAATCCTGTTCATTCATTGTTTGATTTAGTTTTGACCTGGATATTGAAGTTCCCGGCGCTGCGTCTCTTTGCCCTTGCAGGTGGTGTCTCTAATTGATGGTCGGAGATTGGGAGTAACCTTTCCCTCCTCGGCGTGCAGATTAGACGAGCAAAAGTGGGCGGAGACACGCGTGATGGATGAACCCCTTTAAAACCCAACTGATACGCTCCCGACCATTATGTAAACAAGGCACCCAGTTTTTAATACTTTACGGTGACATTTTCGCACCCGAGTTTGAATTTGCGTTGTTTTTTTTTGTATTAAGAACATGTAAATATATTATAAATCGCGTTAAGCTTGGGGTGAACGGAGTAGCGAGGATGTCCTGGTGACTTCTGGCCCCATGGAAAAGCTAAAGGTGATAAGCGGAACCATTATCCGGCCGATCGATGCAGAGGGGACGGTGATTAATGCGGCACCCGGCCCCGCGTCCCCGAGCCAGACCGCGGGGACCACAGCTGTCCACACGCAAGCTCATCATAATATTTATAGAGCGAGCGATTACTGGTGCTGACTGTGTGAGGGAGAGAACGCTGAGGACTTTATTGGAGAAGCCTTTGATATGTTTATTCTAATTCAGTTTTCCACTTAAAACTTACACAGAATAATGCAAAATGAGTATGTTTACGCTCCCGTATAACTGTTTGTACCTTACATTTAGACTGGACAAAAAGTGGGATAAGTGTTGACGAGTTACACCTCTACATTGACAACAAAAATATTAAATAAAATTCATTAATTCAATCATTTATTTATTTGTTTGAGCCAGGTACAACGAAATTAAAAACAATAACAAAAATAGTGATATGTACATAACATATTTGGGACCTGGTGCTCAAAAGGAGTAGGATGAAGTTTAAAAAGCTTATAAACTGAAAAAAAGGTCTGAGAGGGGTTGCTCAAATTGGAAAAACTAATTTGACAACAATAACATGACTTTTTTTTACATTTCTCTGTCCAGCATGTTTAAATCTTACAAAGGTCACTTGATTGTGGTGGATGTTAGACCTGCAGGTTTTAATCAGGTTGAGGAAACATGACTTTATTATAATCTGTGGTGAGGCTCGTCCCTCTGGAATTCTCCTCCCCAAAACTTTTGGAGGGAAAATTCAAATGTAACAGGACACAGGACAGTTCCAGGAGCAGAGACACACAGTGTGGAGCAGGAGGATTATGAGAACTGATCTGGAGGTGAGACTTTTCAAAGATTTTATCTGCTTCTCTGGACTAGAATGTCGTCATTATTAAAACATGTTTGAAACAAATTGTCTTTGACTGTCCATCTACAAGAGTGTGACAGTTGTACTCAGACTTGAATGTGTTTGTTCCAGAGTCGTCTACAAAACAAAGAGTGACGTCCAGAGCTCTGCTGGAGCTGTGGGGAAGTTCATGAATGTTACTATCTGATGTTTCAGAAAAAAGGAAGATGTTTGAGAACCAACAAAACACAGAGCACAGATGAACAAAGTAAGTAACTCAACTAAAATGATTTTAAAAGAATTTTTCAAAATGAACTTCCTATTGAAACAGTTATGGTGTTTCTACAGGGTGATGTGGCACTAGGAGACTTTATACCAGATGCCCTCCCTGTTACTGCGTTTAGAGGAAGAAAAGCAGCACATGGTGAGTTTTGTTTCTGCAGATACACTTCTAATGTTCTTGTTCTTCTGTTCTGGTCCATTATAGGTACTTTAAATGTATTTAAACATGTAGAACAGAGTAGATCATCAGAATGTGATCATCATGTGTTATTCTGTGTCCACAGAGACCAGAGCTTCTTCACTGGAATAAATCTTCACACTGTCCAGCTCCAAACTGTGTGTCTCTGTACTTGTGCTGTTTGATTCTGTTTAAGACAAAACAGAACTGTGGAAAACTAAACACTGTTTTTTTTTGTATAATTTTACAGAATTAGATCAATTAAATTAAATTATACATACTTATAGATTTCATGATAACATAAGATAAATCTGCATATTCAGCATGATTTGATCAAATTTCATCAACATGAAAAAGTGACGTTCATGTTCTGAGAAAAATATGTGTAGAGAAGATCGAAATAAGTTTCAAAGCCTAAACATCATTTTATTGCATGAAACCGCTTTCCACAACTTTTTTACACAAATCCAGTGACCTTTTTTTTTTTCAGTGTAGAGTCCTTCCCCAGTTGTTTTACATAATCACGTGGTTCACTTTCTTTTCTTTTTTTTTTAATCATCTTTGGAGTGCTTACCTGTCTTTTGCAAAAATATACCCACATATATACAAAAACATATCCACACATACATATACATGTGCACACACATGTACATACATACATATACATACATACATAGATATCCAGTACATATACTCAATATAAATGTTTATACACATATACATACATGCAGAAACATATTTTCGTTTATGGTCGTACAAACTAATAATGTTAATCTAGGCACAAAATGTATCGTTTATGATCGTATAAAATAAACAGTAATGGGAATGAAAAATGTAAGGATTTTTTGTTTTCGTTTATGGTCGTACAAACTAATAACAGCATTGAAGAAGGCACAAAGTTTATAGTTTATGATCGCACAAAATAAACAGTAATGAAAATAAATCAAATGTGGCGAAAAATGTTTGAAATGAGTCTCAAAATGTATTCAGTTTGTCAAAATCCCCTCTTTGTCTTCATGAACCCTCATGTCTCGACTGGTCTTGTGTAAGGATGCACCGATTGAATCAGCCCAAAAAATGTCAGAATGTTTGAACTTTTATTCATACATAGTTGTTCTGTGGTTGTTTTAGGGAAAGAAAACAGCTACATGCCACATTTGGATCAGTGTTGTCTCATTTTATTTTACTTTAAAGAAAATAAATACTGTTGTAATCTCTGCACTGCACGTCAAGTATCAGGAGCAGGAGAAGAACACAGAAGAAGACTTGAGTTTGTGTGTTAAACATGGGTGAATGAAACAAAACACAACTCCACGTCTTTTGCAAAGAGAGACATTCTGGATTCACACTTTGAGAGCTACGGTCCAGCCTAGTCTCAATGAAGAGCTGGATTTTTCACCCTTCCTGTAACTCCCCCTCCGCTCCTAGAAACAGTTTGAACTCTAAAGCCTCCACATATACAGTATCTATGCCTTTTTGTTAATTACCGTATTTTTCGGAATATAAGTTGCTCTGGAGTATAAGTCGCACCAGCCAAAAAATGTGAAATGAAAAAGAAATAAACACATATAAGTTGCACTTTTTGAGGGAAATTTATTTGATAAAATTAGAGACCAGGAACTGACATTTCCTGTGTAAAGTCAAGTTCTAGTAATAACAATAGTTCAGTTCTTCAGATAAACTATAACATAAACAACAGAACAGAACAAGTTTATCAAACTCTCCATCTCACTCCAAATCACTAAATCCATTCAATTCTTCATCCTCAGTGTCACTTCTGAACAACTCGTCCTCGACCTCTGGAGGTAAACAGAGCGCCGCTTCCTCTTCTGTGTCGCTGTCGTCAGACTCAGCATCAGTTCCAGTTAGAATTATTCGGGTCTTTCTGAATCCCGACAGGATGGTTTCAGTGTCATTGAAGTCACTTAAATGTTAAATTGTTCAGTGGTGCAGAAGTAATGGTGCGATTGACTGACATGATACAGACAGAACAGAGGCTCTTTCTGCAGGAGACATGTGCAGTAGAGTGAAGTGACAGTGGTACAGGAGGAACAGGAGCAGCAGATACTCACACACAAGACTAGAACCTCTCACTGCTTCAGTGTGAACATTTAATATTTAAGTCACAGTGGAGTATGTGTAGTTAGTCACAGGAAGCACCCAAACCATGAAAAAAAGTGCAACTTAGAGTCTGAAAAATACGGTGCTCAGTATATCATGTCTCTTTATCATGTTGTTGTCAATTGTTAAAAGGGACAAGATGTTCCCTCTTACCAATTGGCCCTCAAAATACCCAGATATTTTTGATGAAACACATCTTACAACATTTCTGGTGCTTTTTACTTGTGACACTGTTAACTTAAAACTATTTTTGATAAGTGTGCTGTGGAACCTCAGGGAAATATGTGTTGTTGACTGTACTGCAACCTACAGAACAGTGTTTTTTATCTGTTGTGTTAGTGGTATGTTGTTAACCCTCTCAGGCCTCAAATTAAATTTTAATTTGTTACAGATTTGCAGCATTGGTCAGGTGTGGTAAATTAACACTGAAGACTGAAAATCATATGAACGTTAACTTTATGTGTAAACCACTTTTCATAACAATGAAAACATAAAGCCCAGTGTAACAGATTTACAGTGGCAGAACAACATCACCTTTTTCGTGTGGTTCTCCAAGAAACGACAACAACCAACAACAAAAGTACTTTGCACTTCTGGCAGGTCGTTTGTGTGTAGTCATTCTTACACAGTCTGCATCGTTCCACGTTTATCAGCATGGATGGGAGAAAAGGCTCCTGAGTAAAAAAAGCTCATAAAATATGGATGTGGAGTAAGTAGGTAATTGGAATTTAGCTGTTGCAAATCTGCAACGCCTGCCTGGAGAGGGTTAAAATACTTGGATTCAACATGTATGATGTATATGGATATTACGTTTTTAATAATCACGTATTTGATTGGTCACATGACCCTTATAAATAGAGTCACACCACACCTACTGCTCACTCTATCAGCCCTGAAGAAGACTCAGAATTTGAAACGTGTTGGTGTGACCACAAATAAAAACACACTGCAAATCAGAAGTGTCTCTGTCATCCTCTTTACCTCTACAACTCCAGATCTGATTGTGATGAGAAACTATTACAACATAGATCAGAAAACAGTGTAATATGGACCCATTAAAGAACCAACAGGGTTCCCACGGTCATAGAAAATCCTGGAAAAGTCATGGAAATTGAAAATGTAATTTTCCAAGCCTGGAAAAGTCATGGAATTTTGTAAGTTTAGTGAAAGTTTGGAAAAGTCATGGAGTTTCAGTATCCCTTTCACGCACCTGCAGCTGTAAGTTCTCATGAGGCTCTTATGATTATTTGTGAATGTCTACGTCTTTTGTTTAAAAGAGACGACAATAAATGCACTGACAGGATTTTGAATGTTAAAAACTATAATCCCAAACCATAAGGTGAGTGGAAAGAGTTCACATTTCATATTTAGCCCTAAAACTATGATCAGTTCTACACATGTAGGTGCTGTAAAGTCATGGAAAATTCACTTTAGGTCATGAAAAGGTCATGGAAAAATGTTCAAATTTTGTCAGTGAAAAAGACATAAAATCCACAATACCTCACGATATGTCCACTTAAAAACATGCCAACCTTTTGTATCTTTTTGTACATTTTATTTATGTAGATTTCATGTATGGTTCAAACTTTGATTAGAAATGTGGTTTTCCTGACATAACTAATCGTCCTGAATCCAGCCTCTCTTCTCTGTGTTCTGTGCAGTTCTTATTTACAAGATTACAAGTGCTCTCCAGTTGTTATCGTGCTCTCCTCCGCTGAGAGAAGACAGCCAAATTACCGCTAACACTAATGGACCACCGGGCGCTAATATCTAAATCCTCGATCTGCCTCGTAACTGCTGCAAAACACAACGTCAACTTGAGCCTTCTAATCTACTGTGCCCTCTGCTTTTACACCAGGAAAACACAAGACGAGGTGTGGTTTTACTGGTAAAGGAGACTGGAGAATGAAAAGACATGAGTGGAATTTTAGAATTAGATCAGAATTACTACAATATTCAACTACAAGTCATTTTAATGTCCACTTTGTTGTATTAAAGCTGCATTGTGTAACTTTTCTGGAGGAGAGTCCATCAAATGCTTTTCTCCATGGAGATGTTATTGTTTTGTCTGGAATGTTCCACAGTATGGCATTAAAACTTTATCTTCATGGGGACCAAACCAGACTGAGTTACAGGTCAGATCTGTGGAGAGGCGACCCCTGTTTTTCTAGGTATTTTTGAGCTATAAAACCATCTGGAATTGAATAAATGTGAGGTAGAGTTGTTTAAAGTCACGCTGTGGAACATTCCAGGTAGAGCAATGACATCTCCATAGAAACAAGCAGGTGACAGATCCCCAACCAAAAAGTTACATAGTTATTTATTTAAATAATTTAATTTAGTTGTTATTATTACTACCAAATGTTATTATTATGTTATTATTATTATCAAATAATAATAATAATAATAATAATAATAATAATAATAATAATAATAATAATAATAATAATTATTATTATTATTATTATTATTATTATTATTATTATTATTATTGTTGTTGTGAAAATGACATATACAAACAATTCAACTTTTTTTTTTCTGGAAAAGAACCAATTAAAAATATTTTTTTTTAATCTGGAACTGTTTTTACAATTAATTTAGACATAACAACAACAACAAAGTATTAATTAAAAAAATAAATAAAATAAAATAATAAATACTTACAATTTAAAAGGCAAATTTGATCCAATCAGAAACCTGTCTGGATGTGAATGAGGATGTTTCTCTGTTATAGTTGAACATCCGATTGACAAAAGGTATGACTGGAACTGGAAAACTCAAACTGGGTAAAGTTGTGTAAAGTGTTAACAATTATTTAGTATTTATTTAATTTGAATGTATTTTTACTAGTATTTTTGCTTTGTCTGGGATGTTAAAATGGTATGACTTTAGACATATCCAGCTATAGCATTTATTCATTGCAGGTGTTTTTATTGCTCCAAAATACAATAATTCCTTCTGTAAAAAGGGCGCCTCTCCACAGATCTGACCTGTAACCTGCTTGTTTCTCTTGCAATAGATACATTCAATTTATATTGTG